GTGTAATGCTTTAAAATAAAAAATTAAAACAGAATTTTACAAATTTCTAAAAAAAAGGGTTAAAAAATAAAAAAATGCTTAGATTCAAACTTTTTATATATACAGACTAGCTTGCGCTATCCCGTTTGAAACGGGATCACAAATATTATGAATTCATTTATTTTAAATGAATTAAATGAGCCTTTATGCGTATACTTATTATTTTTAATTACAAAATGGCTTTTTTATTATAAATTAAAATTTGCTATATAAACCTGTATAAAACTAATATCTAAATAAAAGCAAGGGAAAATGCACAAAAACACCGTTCGGTGCTAGAAAAATAAACATAAAACTTATGCTACTGAGTTCTAATAAAAAATACAAAGAATTTTTAAATTTTTAAAAAAGAAGGGTTAAAAAATAAAAAAATGTTCAAATTCAAACTTTTTATATATATTGACTAGCTTGCGCCATCCCGTTTAAAACGGGAGCATAAATTTAATGTGTGTTCTTTCTTTTTAATGGATTTAATACGCCTTCATGAGTATACTTATTATTTTTAATGACAAACTGACGTTTTTTATTATAAATTAAAATTTGCTAAAGACATCTTGTATAAGATTATAATAACTAAATAAAAGCAAGAAAAATGCACAAAAACACCGTTTTGTGCTTAGAAAAATAAAGCCTACACTTATGCTACTCGTTCTTAAAAAAAAATACAGAGAATTTTACAAATTTCTTAAAAAGAAGGGTTAAAAAATAAATAGATATTCAGATTCAAACTTTTTATATAGTTAGACTAGCTTACGCTATCCCGTTTTTAACGGGATCAAAATAATGTGTGTTCTTACATTTGTTTTGTATGATGCAACTTCATGCCTGTACTCATTAATTTATATTACAAAATGACTTTTCTTTATTATAAATTAAAATTTGCTATATACACCTTATATAAGATTAATTTAACCAAATAAAAGCAAGGGAAAATGAACGAAAACACTGTGCTGTTCTTAAAAAAATAAACCCTACACTTATGCTACTTGTATTTGAAAAATACAAAGAATTTTAAAAAAAGAGGGGCTAAAAAATAAAAACATGCTCAAATTCAAACTTTTTATATATATTGATAACATTTTTTACAAGATTTTCTATAAAGCAGAAATTGTTATATAATTTATATCTGTAGAACATTGTACTATATTTAAATTAACTGATTATTGTCGTATATAAGATCTGTAATACAATGTTTAAACTTTCAAAAGAATAATATTTAAAAATATTTCTAAAATCAAACAATTTAATAAGTTATATAGTAAGCAAAATTTTTGTCATTAAAATAAAAAAACTAGTTAGTAAAAAAAAGATATGTTGATTTTTTTTGTATATTTAATGCTAACGGACAATATTATCTTCTTTAAAAATTTTAATTTACACATGTAATTTCATTTCTATCCTTTTAAACATCAAGAAATTACTGATAAGGCAAAATACAATAAAACATACAAAAAATTGTATCTTGCTAAAAGTAAAGAATAGTTCTTCTCTCAAATAGGACTGTTTTAATTAGTTAAATACACCTGCTAAGAGCCGACATTTAAATGAAATGTTAAAAATTGTCTGTATGCATAAAGTTTGATTGTCTTTTGACGCAAAACATGGAAGGTCGTAAGACGTTTAAGATATTTAAAAAATCTTTTTACTTGGGTTTCATTAATGGGCATTTCAAAGTTGTTATCTAAAACTAATGTATAAAACACTTCATCAAATATTTCATCATCAGAAATATTATTATTTATAATTATATTACAGAAAGCCCATTGTAATACATCATTTTTGGAATTATAGTCATAATAGTTTTTCATGTACATTTCATTGATTTTTTCACTGGGTTTATTTTTATAAACTTTTGTATAGTCTTTTTCAAGTTCATTAGTGTCTTCTAAAAGAACAAAAAATTCTTTTAAAAGAATTTTAAATTGCTTTTTTAAATCCGCTTTAGGCCAAAAAATTTTATAGTCTATAATAATATTTGGCAAATTAGAATATAATTTTTGTATTTTTAATAATTCTAATTCTAGCTTGTAACATTTCTCTTGATGTTTTGTATATTTTTGTATGTAATTATAATCGTATATAATATTGTCATTTAGTGCTTTGTTAAATTCTTTAATACTTTTAATGTTTGATATTATCTTTTTCCAATCTTTCAATGAATATGGTGTAATACACCTAATATTTAATTTAATATATTTATCTAGATCAAAATTTTTAGTAAATTCCAAATCATTTTCGTATTTTAAAAATAATTTTTTATCAAATCTAGGGACTTCATTTTCAAAATTTTTACTCTGGGCTTCATTTTCTATGTTTCTTACTCCAGTTTTATCACCAAATATATATTTGTAATATTTATTCTGTGAAAAATATTTAGGCAGAAAACAAGAAGAAGCACTTATCAATTTATCCCATATACATTTGCATTCATTTAAAAAAACATCCTCTGCAGATGAATATAGAGCCTGTTTACGTACATTGTTAAATTCTTTTTTTAAGATTTGCAACTCTATAGATTTTATAAAATATGTAGATCTATAATATTTGTATGTACAATCTCTTAGATAAGCTGGATAATTTATGTCAAAGTTTATAAAATTAGAAAAATAAAACTTACAAACTATTTTCATTTGTTTTGACTCAACTACAGAACAATCACACCATAACAAAGTAATTTCTGAAACAAATTTTAGTAAATAAATGTAAACAAAAGTTAGCAACTTATTATCGTAAGTGTTTAAGCATGAAACTTCAGTTGTAATTTTTTCAAAAACAATTTTATGAAAATTAAGCAATTTCAATGGCTTGAAAGTTTTTGATATTAAATTATCTTCAATAAGATAAATTCCAACTTTTTTAAAAGGACTAAAACGAATGCTTGATTTTTCTTTACCTATTATAGCGAAAAGCAATTGATCAAAAAAATACAAAGTACTTTGATGAGGTCTATAAATAATATTATTGCGATTTGGCCTAAACTTTTTTTTCTTCTGTTACAATTATTTGCAGTTAAAAGTTCATTGATTCTATATAGAAACCTATTAATATCTAAATCAGTAATTTTTTTTTCAAACTGTAAAATAACAAACATGATGTTTTGTATAACATTAACCTCTTTCTCATCTGGTTTTAAATAAGAAAAAATTTTGTTTGCTACTTGACAAATTTTTTCAACATTTTTATCTAGTTCAGAAAACAGATCTTCAGACAAAACTTCTTCCTTTGTAATTTCTTTTAACAAATACAATATATTAAATGGTACCTCATCTTCATGATTAATAACAGAAACGGCTTCAAAATTTATTTTATGAATTAGCATTAACACAGAATCTTCTAATCTAAAGAAATCATTATTAAAAAAGTTTTGAAGTACAATTGCTAACATTGGTTGCATGGATGATGTTTCTCCGGAATTATTACTTTCAGTCAATAAATATCTATGGTAAGATTCTATCGTTGCTCTGTATATTTGATGTGTTCTTTGATTATCAATATTGATATTTGAATATGCTTTTGTCAAATAAATAAAAATAATATAGCAATTAAACATTATAAGGGCTGTATATTTACAAAGATTTTAATTTACAATTATCATTAAAAAAATTACTTTTATCAAAAATTATAATTTTTATGAGTTAAAAAAATATATAGAAAATAATGTAAACTCGGAACTAAAATATACAATTTTTTAAGTTTAAAATTTATTACGATCTATCTGTTATATAAATATAACTGTTAATTAGTTTTTTTTATCGTGATATTTGACGGACTTTAAGAATTTTAAACTTAACAATCAAAATCAATCTTTTATAATATCTTTTACTAAATTTTTTATAAATCTGGTATATTTCAAATAAATAAAATTTGGAAGGTTTTAGTGTTGTAATTACTATATAGATTATCTTGACGCAATACTTTGTAATAATTTATAACTTTTACATCCACATACTTTAAATATTTTTTGTAAATACAAAATCATCATAATTTTTCAAATTTAGATAAAAAGAATTATTCAATTAACTTTAAGAAAAGCTACAATAATTATAAAACGTATAAAAGACATTTGAAGGCATTTTAAAACAATAATAGTGTTGCAGTGACAAAAACATATATTCTTACAAAATAAAGCCTAGTTATAATTAATCGTTTAAGCCAATGTTTTTTTAATTTAATTTTTTTGTTGTTAAATTTTTATAATAAGTTTCAGATAAAAAAATATATTTTTGCAAAAATAAAAATTTTGAAATAAGAAGATAAAACGAAAAACACCAGTGAAAAAGACAATGACAAAATTTTGAAATTTAAGAATAGATTGAATTTATAAAAATTTATAAGAAAAGTGTTTAAAGTCAAGAATTTGTGATTGGGCATACCAATCACGTATATTTTATTATAAACATGAAAAGTAATAAAAAAGCATACATAAATATTTTTTTTAATAAATGTCACAGTCAGATGAAGACCCCGCCCATTCTGATTACAGATTAAAATTTTATAATACTTTTTCTGCTAGATCAAATACAAGAGGGTGTGAAGAAAAAGTTCTTTATACTTTTTTTTATATTTTACGCTGTTAAACTTAAGATATTAAAGATTGTTTACTTTATAAAATAATTAGAGATTGTGTATTTTTTAAAAAATAAAAAAAAGTATATTAAAATTAAAAGTATTTAGTTAAGCTTTTAATTAACTTCTTATTTTTTTTAATCTAATAATATCAATTTCTTCAATAATTATCGAATTGTTGTAATCTGCAGCCAACTTTATCCTACTAAATTACAATATTTCCACAATAATATAACTATAGTATTATAATATCACGAGGTGTCATTCTTCTTGTTTAGATATTATTGTCAACGTCTGGCCTAATTAGGACTTTTTATTTAAATTATAAGGAAGAAAATCATTTTGCCACCTAATTCTTTCAATCATACGATCTGCAGCTTATTTTGTAGATATTCTTAGTTTTCACGCATAACCAAATTTTCCATAGAATTATCAACAGTCATGTTGTCTAGCTCTTGTTCTTCTATAAATTCTGGAACTAAATTATCCAAATTATAAAATATAACATATCTAATAAATATTTTATCTTATATACGTTCAATTTTTAATCACTGTTAGAATTGTTAACTGTTAAAAGTATAAAATCCATTTGTTTGTTAGCCATCAACTCCTTTATACTTAAACCGAACATTAAATAAAACAGTGTATTAGACGTTGTAGAGTGACAAAGTCTATTATAAGAATAAATTACATCTTCTTTCACCAACAATTATCTACCTGGCGCATTGATTGTCATTAGAATAGAACCACCAATCATCCATTTTATTGTTTGGTTGGCTCTTTCTAATTGTCCCCGGATCTAAAGATATCTGGAACACTACTAACATGTCTTACATCAAAAGCAGAAAGCATATTAGACATGGAATCATTCAAAATTCTCTTCCATTATATGTATGTAAATGAAAACAGAGCCCAATTGGCATAAAAATATATCTAATTGCAGAAATTACAGATGAAGCGACTTTTACTCAAAAGGAACTGTCTACATAAACTTAGAAAATGAGTCTATAACGACAAGTATAAACATATACCCATCATTTACTTCTCTATAATACTCAAAATCTGTTAGATCGGGAATATGTCGTTCTTAGGAAAATCTGCCAAGAATAAGTCTTTTAAAATGTCTGTAATCACCTCTTTCGCGACTGAAAAATTTCACAAGAATTCAGCATTTCAGAAACTTTATCTCAAAACTGCATATATTATTGATTCACGTGGATTATATCGTCTGTCTCAAACCGCATGTTTATTACTAACATGAATCAATCTAATTTGATATTTTTTACATCTTTTCTAAAATAAAAAATTTTATATATCGATCATTTCCTAGTTTAAACTTAAATTCTCTCGTTCCTTCAACAATATAAATTTTTTTTGCTCTTTTTTAAAATACTTTTTTTGATCTTGCGTGTGAAATCTAGTAGAAACTGTGTTGCTAATAATAAACTCAATAATTTCTTCTCTTTCAAAGTTATGCAATTCTATTCATAACATAGGGATTAAAATAAAAAAAAACATTATATAAAAAATCTGTACTTGTAAATAAAATAACAAATTTAGTTCATTTCAAAATTATTACTAATTTCATGTATACATTATAATTATTTCTATGTCTAAGGATTAAAATCACAGTAGGGTCCAAATAAGGTGGGATTCGAATGGTCGAGGGTCCAAATAAACTGCGACAAATAATTATATTTTTATTTTATAATGAAATGTGTCCACATTGTAACGAAAAAATAAAGACTGTTGACTGCATGGCAACTCAGCACGAGAGAATGTTGGCACACGATTATGTGCAAAACATGACGACGCATTGAGGTGCATCCATCTACAAATCTTCAGCACTTACAGCCTAACAAAAGGTATAAATATACGAAATCATTTGGTGCGAGAACATATTGCTCTACAGACGTAGAAATAAGAGTTTATACCAGGATGCAGAATGCAATCAATGTTAAGTACAATAAGTCTGACATATAATAGACAAAAAACGAAGTAAATAATAATTGTAGAGATTGGGATTACTGGATTAGAAAATCTAAGAACAGTAGAAACGTAAAAGAAGCACAAACATGATCTCTTAG